TGAAATTCGGGTTCGGGCAGTCGGGCAAACTCGGGTAGCTCGGGTTTTCGGGCAAAATTAAAAAAACTAGCCGTTTTCGGGCAGTTCGGGCAACTCGGGTTTTCGGGCCGAATTCGGGTAAAAATTCAAAAAAACTAGCCGTTTTCGGGTATTCGGGTAATTCGGGCACCTCGGGCGGGTCGGGCAAGTCGGGCAGGCGGGAAAATTTCGGGCAAAATTCAAAAATTCGGGCTTCGGGTCGGGCAATTCGGGCACACCCAATTTTCGGGTCGGGCAGTTCGGGCTTGGTCGGAAAAATGCAAAAAAATCCCGGCGGACGGCGGTATACGGTGGTTAGACGGCGGCGGGCAAGGGGGGACATGTCAAATCCGGGCTGCCCGAGCCCGAACCCGAATTTCTTGCTTGGACGGGCGGGAATTGGGCCGGCCCGCCCGAGCCCGAAAAAATTCGGGCTTCAGGCGGCCTGCCGACCCGAAGTTCCAGCACTACTCAAGCACATAAAAGTAAGAGTACTAACTACTTTTTCCTGAGACGACAAAAAGTTAAGCTTGACATTTTAAGAAGAAGTTGAATTAATTAAGAATGCGATTGCCTAAACATGTCTGCTTAACTTCCACGTGCGTAATGTGAGATCCAACAACGACAACAACAATCTATACGTATTTCCAATACGCAATTCATGACTTCTTCTTTGTAATTATTGGAAGTGTATTTGACATTTCAAATATTGATTAAAGTCATAGACTCATAGTGATCATGTCTTCAAATGTGTCGCCCTCATCTTTCTTATTTCTCTCTGTCTGATCAAAACCTTTGCGATCAGAAACCAATTTGCTAAACTTTCTAAAAACCTGGTGGGGATGGCGGAGAAGAAGCTCATCGTTGTCGTTCTTGCGTCTCTATTGTGTCTGATTGTACCTCTAGCTCGAGCCACGAAATTTCATTACTGCGGTAAACTCCTACTAAACCTTTTAAACTTCTTGAGATTTCTGTTTGATTGTTTGGTTGTTGTCATCGGAAATGTTTTTGCTTACTTTGATTTTCTGATCTATCGCCTTGCTTCGACGAGTCTATTTCCATGGAAATGGAAAATTTCCTTCTGAATTAAAGATAAATAAATAAGCGCCATCTTCATATGAATCGAAATATTTGGCAAGTATAGAAGATTGTATAAATACTTGATTTTTTTCAACGTAATATAGAAGTCTTCCCAGCTATCAGCGTTAGCATACTTCCCCGGAGTGTTACCAAAAGGCCGGGTCCCTAGGTGTTGATAGAAATGTTCCTACAAGGCTCACAAGAAACGTGTCACCCCTAACGCACCTAATGTACTAACCGTACTAACCGTAAAGATATGTGTTAATTTACTAATTCATCCTAAAAACTTAAGTTGTTAGGAGGTAGGTCAACAATAATTTTTATATTTTAACACTCCCCCTCACGTGGGGACAACGGACAATACTTACAGATATATTAAAGACCCAACACATGATGACAATTTAAATGGGAATAAACAGTGCAATTATTGAGGTTTGAACTCAGGACCTCCCCTTTTAATACTATGTTAGTTTACCAATTTATCTCAAAAATTTAAGAGGTGGGCCAACAATAATTTTTATAAACAATACGCGAGGGAGTAGTTGCACGTACTTTAAATCAAGTATTAGACCGCAAACCCACTACAGTATTCCATTACCGTTGATACCACACTCGGTGGTATATTGATAATTGGTTAATAGTAGAATTGGAGTGAGACATACATATATAAACTGATCATATGTTTTGGGAATGTGTAGATACGAGCGCTGTTTATGACGTCAAGGTTGAAGGAATTGAAATAAGTCCTTATCCTGTCGAAAGAGGCAAGCCAGTGACCTTCACAATCAATGCGAATACAGGTATATTCTCTTTAAACGAAGAAGCGCTGACTAATGATTTCAACAACATTGAAAGATTTTTGTTACTATATACCTTATGCTTGTCGTTCTTGTCTGCAAGAAATTTGATTTCGTTTTTGTTATACATCATGCAATATTTCTTTTTGTTTGTTCTTTTTTTTTTTTTTTTGGTGCACATATGAGTGAGGCCACGTACCCCTACTCAATTTTTAAAATTTAGATTTTTATTTTCAAAATTTTGCTAATGTTTACAAGAAAAGTTATATGTCTCCCTTAATAACTAAAGTATGTTTTTTTTTCATAATATAATATATATATATATATATATATATAACCATGTCCGCATTAAATAATAAATAAAATACTACCTTTATTTTATTTTTCTTTTCCCACTCTATAGTGGTTTGACATTAGCTTGAGGAGCAAAGGAATGTGAGTTTTTTTTTTTTTTCCCCTTATTCCTTTGTTTTAATTTCTTTTGATGACTCTAAGACCTATTTATGTGCTAATTACATAACAGGTGCAGAAATCTCTGGAGGAAAAATGGTGATGGATGTTTCAATTCTTGGATTCCGCATCCACTCTGAGACTCATGACCTTTGTGAGGAGACCAATTGTCCTGTTCCAGCGGGTGATTTCGTGATTTCTCAATCTCGAGTTTTGCCTCCATTTACCCTACACGTAAGTCATCATTGCACTTGGTATAATTTTAAGTGCATTACTTTGAGAGGAAAATAGCATTAATTTCATAAATGTGCTATCATTCTTGTCCCTTGTTTCAATGTGTCTTTAAATTTTGAAAGGGGCTCACTTCATCCCTGAAATATAAAAAAGTGGTTCAAAACATCCACTAAATTTATGTTATTTCATAAATAAATGCCCCATAAATTATTGATTTTGTGTCAATATATCTTCTTATTTTTTAAATTATCAAAGGGTAAGGTGACACAAAAATGACAATTCATGACATAAGTTGACTTAAAATCAATAGTTATTTAGAGACAGTTATCTAGAAGACAATTTTTCACGATATTAGAGTATCTCCAATGTAATATTAAATTGACGTTGCAATGCTAAATATTAGTATTTGATGAAAAAATTAATTTCCAATGCAATGTAATTTTTTATATGCTCAATCTTGAAAATGTTATACTTAAATGAAAATTTTGCCACCGTTTAATAAATATTAAATTTGACATTACATTGTTTTCGATTGATGTATTGATTTTTATTATCATATTCATTGCAACACTATGTGTTTTATTATATTATTTTAATACTAAAAGTCTACTTCTACGAGTTTCAAAGTTAAATATGTTATTTTTAAATTTTAGTGGTAAATATAGTATTAATTGGCATTGACATTTGCATTGAAAACTGTCTAAAAATTTTATTTTTATTTTAATATTGTTGTGTTTCATTCTAACAAATGTGTTAGCACCGTGCAGGGTTCTCTCACTCTTACAATGAGCCTAATGGACGAAGAGTCTCGAGTACTGACATGCATTGGCTTTAAGTTTCGCCTTGGAGTTGGATCATCTGTGGCAAATAGTTAGAGCAGCACAGAAGCATCACTACTGTTTTCATGAATTATTATAAGAATTGCCATTTATACTGTTGTACCAAAACATAGCTTTTTCAAAAATAAACTGGATTGCACCTTGTCCTGAAGGTGATAATCTTTGATTGCAGAATATATATATCATGTTCATTTCGCTAATTTAAATCACAATTTAAATATTTGTTACAGTGTTTTTTATCTCAAAATTTTAAATTTAACCCTTTCTGTTACAATATTTTATTTTATATGAATTCAATTTTTAACTTAAATTTTCAACTCAAACGAACAAAACAGAAGGGATGATAGACAATGTTTCTCAATTAAGATTTTCTACTTGGCCTATACACGTCCTTTTTCGCGTTTCTACACATATTTAAGAGCAATATACTCGAGTCTCGTATCGTTTAAATATAACAATAGATACTAACAAGTAAAGAGATAGAGTCACTCGACTTAACAATTGACATTTTTAAGATGCAAACTTATTAAGTCCCTCAAAAGTTCAATTTCCACACAAGGTCCCGCATATGGTGGAGCCATGTTGATCTCAATAGAGGCACATGGTCGCGTGAGATTTGAAAAGTTTTTCTTCGCATTTAAATTTTAAAGAAATTTTAAGTATGGTCTTACTTGATTATGAAAATAGGAGTTTTAGCCGTTAAATTTGTATCAGAAACTATTTATTTTATATATTTTTTCAATATGATGTAATTTTAATTATATTTAATAGTCAAAAACTGACTCTATTAGTAGGCAGGTCATACTAGAAAAACTCGCTATGAAAATTATATTTGTGTCTCGAAAAAAAAAATTGTGTACTTTCACTTCGTAATAGATAAATATTCTAATGAGAGCTATCATATTATCCCCACCAATTGTATACACCAAATCCATCCAATAGATTAGAATACTTAGATACAACCCCTTAAGTGCTACTTCCTCTTGGTACTTTGTTGTGATGCAACATGGTAAATACAAAGCTATTTGGAAGATTTGTGAGTCCTGAAGATGTTTTTAAACCAACCAAAAAAAAAAAGTGAGGATTGTTATCCCGAGGCTTCCAATTGATAAAAAGTGAGGAACAAAGAAAGCTGCTTTTGCTCAATTGCAATGACCTCATGGTCCTTTTCTCTCCCTCACCATAATATTATGTGGTCCTATTACACGTGAAAATTACAGTACATCTGATATTCTTAGAATGTATGATACAGCTCAAATCTTAAGCACTAAATGATATTAAAAAAAATAAAACAAAAAGCAAAACAAAAAAGCACTAAATGATATTAAAAAGCAAAAACAAAAAAACAAAAAAAACAAAACAGTCTCAACAGTCAACCGTTTAAAATGAGTTGTTAGCTATTACCTGAAAGAATTTCAACAACTCATATCATTTTCTTTTCATCACCCGACACCTGAGTTTAGGCCAGCGGCACATGACAAAAAATACAAGAAAACACTCTCATGCAATATTATGCCAACTAACCAATTAGCTTAGAAAAATACTCGGTGCACCGCCACTGGGTTAATTGATAGTATAATTAATAGAAGATAGGTCTCCCATATTGTGGGATTCTCTTAGTGTTTAGCACTATTAGTGCCCTAGTATTATTCATTAAGTTAGGCGATCATGTCAAAGGATGGTGAGAGCAAGGGTAATGATGATGGGAGAATCTTAGCCGTTGGATCGTTTGACACCGAGCAAAAATCACTAGTAATCATAAACCATGATTTGAGAGATTAAGGTGGTGGGTAATGGGTCAGTGAATCCTAATGGAAAGAGGTGCCAATTTAGTCAATCACCCCCCCATTATCCCCACCTTGTGCTTATCACTCCCAACTTTACAAAGGGTCTGAAACACACCACTTCCCAGCCAAAATAGACTCTTCACCAAGCCAATAACTATTGTCTCAACTACACAACTATTTTAAGGAGAAGCTGAATTATTTCCTTTGAGACGATAATATTATCTGGTTTATCAGACAATGCTCTTTCCTTGCTGTGGATTTTAAGATTGCCATTGCCTAAATGTCTGCTCAACTTTCACACTGTTTAATGCGAGTGCATGATTAATTCATTTCAGCACATCTTTGGCAAAAATAAATAAACAAATAAATAAAATACAGATATGTAAATGTATTGACGTCTTCTGAAGTGTTCTTTCGCTTCTTTTTAATTATTAGCAGTGTATCTGGCATAATCGTGATCCGATCAAATCTTGATCATTAAAGTAATAATAATCTCTTCAAATCAATTGTCTTTATCTCTCTTATCTTCTTCTCCTTCTCCTTCTCCTCCTTTTCTTCTATATGTCTCTTAAAGCCTTTGTGAAACATTTGGCGAGAACATAAACGTTGGGAGTGCTAAAGAGAGAGAAAGGCTACAGAAAAGGGAAAACAACTGTTGGGACTTTTCTAATGATATTTTGAAACTGGTTCCAAAAAATGAATGCCTCCGTTTTTGTGGGAGACTTTCAAAAAAAAAAAAAAAAAGCATTCATATTCATTCCTACGGATAAAACCCTACCACTCACGTAAGGTGGATCCCATCAGATAGGTAGACGGGATGTAATATAATAGGAGTCATCATTACGTAAGTCGCGAGAATTTATTTCGAAGGGATGAATCCCATTTTCTTTTCAACGGTACAAATCACAGCCATAATTAGCTGATTATATGTTCGGGGAATGTGTAGATAAGAACTTTGATTACGATGTAACGGTTCAAGGAGTTGAAAGTCCTTATATCCTGTGTTGCATATACAGGTACATTTATTCTCTCTTGGAAGTAAGAAAGCTGACTAATGATTTCAACGTTGAAAGGTTTTGTTGTGTGTCATTACTTGGCTCGCTTGTGCTGTTTACTATGTTATGTTTTTATCTTTCTTCTGTCTTGAGTCTACGTGAGATTTTATGTAGTTTTTTTTCATCATACAATTCGTCCATTCATGTTCCAACTGCTTTTTTCATGGGTGCATATATGATTTTACATGCATATAATATTGTGTAAAACTAACTCTAAAAGTGATTTGACATTAGCATGAGCAAAGGAATGTGACTTAAGCCAGTCCTTTTTTGCGATTTTTTTTTTTTTATCTCTCTCTTTGGAATCTAGACTTATTTTATGTACCAACATAACCAGGTGAAGCAATATCCGGAGGAAAACTGGTGATTGATGTTTCGGACGGCACCATCCACTCTGAGACTCGCGACCTTTGTGAGGAAACCTCTTGTCCTGTCTCATCCGTCGATTTCATGATTTCTCACACTCGAGTTTTACCTGGATTTACCCCACCTGTAAGTCATCATTCCATTTAGTAATCTTAATCTTTTTGTTAAAATACTACTAAATCACCATTGCAGCCTCTAATACCACTATTATTAACGCTATTCACATCATTATATTTTTTTCTCTGATTATGTTGAGTTTGGATTGATCATTCTATCTCAGTTGCAGCTCTTGGTTTTAAACTAAAAACATATTTCTCTTCAATAATTTGTGTGATGGTTTTGCTGTAGAACCGTTATTTTGCCTTCCATAAAACTTCCTGTCGTTTTCTCCACTTGTTGAGAATCTTAGTTGAACCTTACATTTACTCTTTAGATGTTCCAAGGCCTTGTCTAGAAGAACAATAAAAAACTATGGTATAGTAATTCTGTTTTTATTTTCTAAACTTTTGTGTTTGTCACAATGTGTTGCACCCTGCAGGGTTCCTTCAATCTCAAAATGAAGCTAAGTGACCGAGAAAACCGCGATCTTTGATTTTTCCGTTGAATTTGGATCATCTGTGGCAGATAGTTAAGAGCTGCATAGATTGGTGTTTTCCATGCGTCATCGTTGTCTTTATGAATTATTGAGAATTTTTCCACGGACCATCCTAAAACTCAACTCCTTTATTGTATGAAATTTTACTTGTGTACCAACTATTTTCTTCGTGACGAACAAAAGTTTAGCACAGCTCTTTCAAGAATAAACTGGATTATTCCTCGTCTTAAAGGCGATAATCAACAGGGGCACGTGCGCCACATGAGATTTTGAAAATTTTTTTGCCATATGTAAATTTTTAAGAAACTTTCTGTCCTCATTTAATTATGAAAATTACACCAGTGTTTGTACTCTCAAAAAAAAAAATAAATAAAATAAATAAATAAAGAAAAAAAGAAAAAGAAAAGATAAGGCTCAGGTCATAAATGGTAAAGTTGAGACCTAGGAAGATCATAGTCAAAGGATTGTAGCCCTTATCCAAATGGTCTTCACCGATCCATTCTATAGATTTTTTTTTTTTTTTTTTTTTGCTCCATTCTATAGATTAGAATCACTAGATACAACCCCTCAGCTGCTCCTAGCACTAGGACTTTGCTTTGATGCATCATGGTAAATGTAAGCAATTTGGAAGATTTTTGAGTCCTGAACTTGGTGTTTAACAACATTATGGGCGTGATAACTGGATGTAATTACGGTGAAAGATCTCATTTGTGTAAACAAAAGTCTCAACCGTTGCAAAAAGTTTATCCCTTTAGTTGTTATCCCGAGGCTTCCAATTGATAAAAAGTGAGGAACAAAGAAAGCTGCTTTCGCTCAATTGAGATGAACTCATGGTCGTTGTCCCTCCCCCTCACCATAACATGTGGTACTATTATATGCGAAAACTATTATTTTCTTAGAATGTATCATACAGCTCAAATCTTAGCCACTAAATGATGAAAAGAAACGATCTCAACCGTTAAAAAGGGAAAAAAATTCCCAATTGTTACCTGAAAGAATTTCAACAACTCATATTGTTTTTCTTTTTGTCATCCTATGGTTAAGATCAGGCTGCTCACACATCAAAAGAAATGGGACATAAAGTTTTTTCCCCTGTTAAAACACCCTCATGCAATATTATGTCAATTAAGCAATTAAGTTACAAAAATGCTTGGAGGCACAACCAGTGTTAAGCATTACAACTAATAGAATGTGTGTCTCATATGTGGATCCATATTGTGGGACCCATTTTTTTATTAGTGTGTGGTGCTTAACACCACCTATGCCCTTAGTGTATGTTCATTAAGTTAGGTCAAGTCAAAGTATGGTGAGAGCGAGGGTAACGATGATGAGAAATCTTAGTCGTTGGATCATTTGACACCAAGCAAAAAACACTAGTAATCATAAAACATGATTGAGAGATTAAAGTGGTGGGTAATGGGTCAATGAATCCTAATGGAAAGAGGTGCCAATTAGGCAATCACCCCCCATTAGACAAGCTAGCCCCCACCTTATGTAGTGATCACTCCCAACTTTAAAAAGGGTCTAAAACACACAGCTTTCCAGCCAAAATAGACTCTTCACCAAGCCAATGTCTTTTTAATTCTCTCACCAGTCATTCTCATCCAAAACTCACCTTTCATTCCCCTAATTCTTTTTTGGCCTGTCCTACTTCTCACATGCAATTAATCATCCAGTTCTAATACCTAAACCAATTGAGAGAATATGAAAGGAATGAAGGGAAAATTCCTCAAGAAATTGAAGACCATACAAGCAATTAGCACTCTCAAACAAGGCCTAGTCTTTACTCAGTTAACTCCTAGTGTAGAAAAGTTCCCCACTAGAAATTGTCCTCAAACGACATCGAATCGCGGAGAACACGATACCGAGAAGGAGAATCTAGTTGACAACATTGGGATATCCAAACACTTGAAAGATCTTAACAATGAAGATTTTGAGCCAGAGCTCAGTCCTGTTCATGATGACAAGAAGACTCTTTCACCCTCCTTGAAGTTCAAAGACAGTGTGTCGTCTTTCAAAGACACGACAATGAATAACCAAGAAACCCCAGATGAAATATGCTCGTCATTGTTGGATTTTGAAGAGAAATGTCCACCAGGAGGGAGTGATAAGGTCGTTCTATACACAACAAGCTTGAGAGGCATAAGAAAAACGTTTGAGGATTGTAATGCTATAAGGTTCTTGTTAGAGAGTTTCAAGGTGTCGTTTTCCGAGAGGGATGTGTCGTTGCACCAGGAATTCAGAGAAGAACTGTGGAAGATATTGGATGGTAAAGCCATCCCTCCTAGGCTTTTCATCAAGGGAAGGTACATCGGAGGAGCGGATCAAGTGGTGGGAGTACTTCATGAGCAAGGCAAGCTAAAGAAGCTCTTGGAAGGAATCCCACCTGCGCCGTCCAATTCCCCGTGCGCTGGCTGCGCCAACGTACGGTTTTCGGTGTGCTGCAACTGCAATGGAAGTCGCAAGGTCGTTGCGGATGGTGAGAACGGTGATGAAGTTTGCTACATTAGATGTCCGGAGTGTAATGAAAATGGCCTTGTTAAATGTGTCATTTGCTGCTGAAGAAACTAACTTGTGATCTCTTTTAGTCTTCTTGAATTCCATGTTGAGAATATTAGTCAATTTGTAAGTTGTAATCATGCTAGAGTTTATGTTGTTGTATTAGCTTGTTAAATAGTAAAAAAAAAAATGCTTTTTATGAGACACTTATATTGAAGATATTATATCCACATTATAATCCAGTTGTCCTCAATAGATTATTATCATACAACTTCAATAATGTTGTGAAGTATCTTTTTATTGTTTTACAACTACAGGTGGGGAAGAGGCTGCACATGCTCTTCCTTTTTGATTTTAGGTAAAATCATGATTTGAAGATAACAAAAGGTTTTTGCATCAAAAGTATGGATGTGGGGTTTATGATGAATCATTCACACCAACAACTTTATGTTAAAGGGTAACTCATGGCATCTTTCTTTTCAGATCTTAAAAAGTCATACTCTTGTAATGGGCAAGAAGGAAGAATGCACTATGGAATTCTTCAAACAATTAATTGAAGCAATGAAATACTTCAAACAATTAATTGAAGCAACTGTTTAGTTCTAACCGCAAAACATTATTGCTCCTATGTGAGACACACGTAAAATTCACACTGATCAATCTATTCTTACATTATTTAGTTTTTTTATGTAATTAATAAATAATATAATGAGTTAGGGAGTTAGTATAACAATGAGCTTAGCATGCATCCTCCATGTGAGTAAATAAATTATATGATTGATCTATTTCATTTGAACTTTTGAAGCAACAAATAATCTGTGGAACTTGAGGAATTCTTTGTCCAATCCTTTCAGCAACTTTCAACTTTTTAACGATTAAAACAGTTTTTCTTTTTTTTTTTTTTAAAGTTGGTTAAAACAGTTTAGTTCTCAACTTATGTAAGACTCACACCTATCAATTATTTATTTAAAATAAAAAGGCCAGTGTCATTCACAATTTTTAGCATTTTCTATGTAACTTACAAAATAAATTATATGATAAGCAAGCTGTGAAGTCATCTAATTTAACGGCTATAGGCATTCAAAAACTGTGTTAATTTGTCTCTTCTGTGGCTTTTTGTGGTCAGCGCATGGCAAGCAAGATTTTGGGTGGTAGGGGCTAATATGAAAGATCTTTCCAGATGGCCAGCAAAATTGTACCTACAAACTATGCACTTGTCTTTTTTTATACATTATTCACGGGCTTGGCTTGGTCTAAAACTTTGGACAATCTTGATATGCACTTATCAAAATTTTTACTTTTTTTATTTTTATTCATAATTTTTTTAGTTAAATAATTATATTAACAAAAAAATATTTAATAAAAATAAAAATAAAGGTCTAGATTCATATAAGGTAAATTTTTCATTTTTTTTTAAAGGCCTTTTTCTCAATTTTGCAGGCGGGTACAAGCAAACATTAAACAATTGACAGGACTTCATTTACAGTAAACACTTTGGACCATAGGCCCTGAATGTACTTAGCTATAAATTCAAATAGGCCCTGAATGTACTTAGCTATAAATTCAAATAGGCCCAACCCAAAAACGAAAGATGATGAGAGAGAGTTAGAGACAATGACTGGTCTAGGTATCGTTCATTTCGCTAATTCGAATTTAAAATTTAAATTTTATTATAATAAAAAGTTTTTACAAATAGTCACATTTAACTTTTTTATTACAGTAAAAAAATTTTACATAAAGTTATATCTCAATTCAAATTAAAAACTCAAATCAGTGAATTAAATGGGCTCTAATTCTACCTCAAAACATAAAAATAGGAGGCTCAAATATGAGCAACTAAATTACTCTCTGTGAACACATTTCCAGTTTTAATTTTTTGGCAGAAGGATATATGTATATCATATATATGGATATATATATATATATCACATATGAGGACACAACTATATATCACTCGAATCAACGAACTAAATGGACTCTTAATCTAGGGTTAATCTCATTTTAAGTCCCCAAATTTTTTAGGATTAAATCAATGTCCCAAAATGAGATCGTATAAATCTTTCCTGACTCGGTTCTTCTACCTGTTGAACAAAATCTTTGGTTCAGAAGGTACAGAAGGACCATGTGTTGTTTGATAGAAATTAATTTTGTAATATCACATATGAGGACACAACTATGACAAAGCAAGTCGTGACTTTTTTGTTGAGATTTAAACAGTTGATAGATACAAGAACTAGTTTGGGACATTTTAATAGTTTGAGAACTCATTTCGTAACATTTTAAAAGTTATGGAGAAAAAGAGAAATATGTTAAGATTTGAGATGAATTAAAATTAATAGGCTAATAATTTACATAAGTTAATAAATAGGCTAAATTATTATTTTCATCCATAACTTGTCTGGTTATGAACCATAACTTGACAAGTTATTATTCATAAATTACGGTTTTTATCCATAACTTGTCTAACTATTAACCATAACTTGACAAGTTTATTCATAACTTATCTGGTTATAAACCATAACTTAACGAGTTATGGCCTATTAATTTCTATAACTAAAAGTTGGCTTATATACTTCCTTAAACTTTTCATATTAGTCTATTTTCTACTATTTCTATAAAAGTTAATGATCAAAATAGAATTTGACTACACTTCACTTCATGAACTATTAATGAATTTAACCCTTTGTTTCACTAATAAAAAAAAAAGAAAATATTATGGTGGGGCATCCCATCATACCCCGTAAGGCGATTAACCATGACCACATGATTCAAATAAAATGATGCAAATTTGTAGGAAGGTACTATGATCACATGATTTAAATTAGATGACATATATTGTAGGAGGTTGAATACGGTGAGAAAATTTCTTACACAATATTGCTACACACGCTTTATAAGCGTTGTTTGATATAAATTTTACAACTACTGTCAGTTGCTCTGCACTACTTTATAACTCCCCTTAAAATCATGAATTAAGCAAGTTATGAAAAGAAATCTCAAAAACAATCAAAAGGTAAAAGCTTTTGTAAATAAAATTCTGTTGATGGCGTCTGATGTTCTCCACCCGCTTCTCTATTCAAGAGTGACTGTTTTTATTTTATTTTATTAAAGCCTTTAAAACTTCAATTGCCTTTTTGGGTCTCATTTAAAAGTCAGCTCAAGATAATAAAAACACGGTGGCTTAAAAAATAAAATAAAAAAGGTTGTGTTCTAGAGGGGTCAAAATTTTTGAATTATCATTATAATTGATCATCATAGTTGTCAATATTGTTCCATTTGTAAGCAAATGACTAAAACCAGCAGAAGATGACTACAACTATTTTAAATGCAAATGAAAGGGAACTAAAAAAAATGTCTTGTACACAGCTGGATTCGGCTGTCAATTTTGGAGATTAGGCAAAGGAACCAACAAAGACTTCGTAAATATTTGTATTTCTCAAGTAGAATACGTTACAACCCACATTTTTGGAATACATGTGCAAATGAATGATGAAACTAAACAATTTGAGCTGTTAAAAAAAGCTGTCCAACTATCACGTGATAAAACTAAAAAATAGATTCGGCTCATTGTTTCGTTTAATCATTCGATGGTTAAAATTTGAACTACACGTGCATCTTGGAAAAAAAAAGGTACAGCGTTTGAATCAATAAAGAACCTTTTTTTCTGTATTTGTATAAATCGATATTATTACATTCCAATTCCTTCCCGATACCTCCCAAGGAAAATCCCGAATCGGATTCCAAATTGACGGGTTAGTGTGAGCTTATCCATGCAGTTATGCACTCTTCGAATAGGAATCCATTTTTTGAAAGATCCTGGCTTTCGTGCTTTGGTGGGTCTCCGAAATCCTTTCGATGACCTATGTTGTGTTGAAAGGATATCTATATGATCCGATATGATTCGATCGATGTAGCCTTGTTCGTGTCGAGTAAAACAAACGATTCGTCCGAGAGATGGTAGCTTGACTTGGTGGGTCTCCGAGATCCTTTCGATGATGTATGTTGTGTTGAAATGGTATCTATATGATTCGATTGAGGTAGCCTTGTTCGTGTCGAGTAAAACAAACGATTCGTCCGAGAGATGGTAGCTTGACTTGGTGGGTCTCCGAGATCCTTTCGATGACCTATGTTGTGTTGAAATGATATCTATATGATCCGATATGATTCGATCGATGTAGCCTTGTTCGTGTCGAGTAAAACAAACGATTCGTCCGAGAGATGGCAGCTTGACTTGCGCATTGCACCGTGTTCATGGAATAAATCAGAAGGCGTTTTTCAAAATGGAGAGGAGAGTATATTCTCAACGTGCATTGCTATTCCAAAGAATCCCTCACCAAGAATTCATGGAGGTTATTAGAAAGGAAGCTAGAGGCTTGGAATTTCCCCAACAACATGCATTGTAAAAGAATCTTTTTGGTAAGAGTGTAGGCCAAACTTGGAAAGCCTGCGCCTTTTCTCTTTTCTCCTTTCTTTTTATTCTTCCTAAAGTGAAAAGCTTGTTCATCTTTACAGCTTTTAAAATACACAAATATGGGAATGTAATATCTGTGTTTTAATCATAAGTATGCAAAGAAACCAGAATCCTATGAAAGCCATTTAGATTCCCTCCCTATCAAATCCAAGCGTCAGAAAATTGTCATTTATATGGGAAATTGGAACCAGAAAGTAGCTCCAAAATGGATTGGACCAAAAAGTTGAAAATTTTCGAAAGGAGAGAATCTTTTGAGAAACGTCATAAAAACAAAAGATAACAGAACTTAGAATTGACTGGGACTGGTAGAAAAAGTGTATTTACAGATTATGTAGTTCCAAGAGCAACTGTAAGGAAGTTGCCACACCAGAGTTAAGAAGAAAAGAACAAGATTCAAAATTGGAAAATTACAGACACTTTCATTTCCATTCTTTCTAACTTAGAAGAGACACAAACCTAACCCTCTCATGCCACTGAATAAGCTTTAAACTCTTTTCCTCTTTGTTAACCCAGGTCACATTAGAAATGTCCGTTAAAAAAAATAAAATAAAATACAAACAGGTTAGAGTGAACACACTGCCGGAGATTTACATTCTACATGGCAACATCGGTCATAGGAACCTCGGTGGTTTGTGTAGCAACCTCTACAGGAAAAACTTCCGTGGTTTCCGGAGGGACAACCTCTGTTATAGAAAATATCGTGGACTGTGGAGCAACAACCTCTGTACTAGAAACTTCTGTGGTTTGTGGAGTAAATGCAATCGCTTCTGCTATTGGAATATCTCGCGGTGGTTGCAAGGACCGAGTGTAGTTGAACTCAATTTGCAATCTTTGATGAAGCGGGGTGGATGACATCAGTCCTTTTTTCATATCCGCCTGCAGTTCTCTTAGAGGAATTGCAGCCAAGAAGTTCTTTATGTACTCTTTGCAAGCCTCTTTCCCCTGACAAACAATCTCCTCCTCCTTCATTGGTTCCTCCGGCTTGGCTGCCGATGCCTCTACTACGGCGCTCTCCTCCTTCGAATCGACTATCTGGTTCTTGGTTTCAACAGCTGCTGCTACAATCTGCTGATCACCGGCTGTTTTGTCATCTGATCCTTGTGGAACACTTGACATCTTGTGAATTACGGTGTTAGAGTCGAATTTCAAGATGTAGGCCTGATCACAGCCCTCATAGAGCCTCTCCCCCAATGTGTCAACTATGTAGTATGCTTCTGGTTCAACCTTGAGGATGAAGAAATGGTCATTCCAACTAACAATATACACTTGAGGTTCGCCATTTAGACATTCCGATGCAGCACGGCTAATCTCATCCCAAATGTTATCAAAGGACATGGCACCGTGTAAAAAATCGAAACGGCCTCCATCCATTCCCTCAGGGTGGAAGAACCCAATAAAGGATTTTTGTTGAACTACGGAAAGGGGGCGTATTTTGGCTTGTAGGACTGTTTCAAGATCAAAGTGCTTGTCAGGAAATCTCTCCCTGTAGATCTCGTTCTCACAGAGATTCCTCCACTCTAAAGAACCTTCTCGGATCAGACTGTCAAACTGAGATTTGATGGGCAAGAGATCTTGGTTGTTCTGGAACCAGTCGGCAATAACAGCAACTAGAGCTGTGCATGCACTCTCGCCAGCTGCCCGCTCACTTCGCTGATCTATGGAAGCAAAAAAGACCTGGGTTTGAAGCTTCATATGTCCATCACGGCTTGTTACTTCTTTGTGCTCCCAACTGCCAACCGTAAAGCTGTCATCTCCAAAGTCAGAAACTGACGACCGATTTGCAGATGAATCCTCCTCACTTTTGTGCCGCTGCCAAAATAGTTGTCATCACCATGTTAAAGAATTATCTCACTTTTATCTTTAAGCACTCAATAATCAAGTATGCTTAAGAGTCAGACAACCAGCCACTTTTGTTTTATATATGACATAGCTTAAATCAGAAATAACACTACATTCTGCAGCTATATAAAAGAAGGTTTATATCTCCCCTTTTTCTATGTTACTAAGCTGGAAAATAATGGAAAAGAAAGGTATTGCTAGACTCACCCCAAGAGATTGAGATTCATCAGAGCTGAGCTGGCGACGATCAAAATCGATATCATCACCACCTTCTTCTCCATAAGCTTTTTTCAATAGTGGTTCTCCTTTGGCTTTAGGGGACCTGAAGCTCAGCTTTCTCTTCCTCCAAGGTAGCAAGCTGCGCTTTGAACTTTGCAGTACTGATGGCTCAGAGACTGCTGTACTTGAATCCTCATTATGCGAGCACCCCACATCAGATTTACGATTGCTGTAGTACACCCAGTCCTCACCTTCACCATTGATCCTCGAAGGCCAGTTAAATGATCCTCCAACATAATTTGCATAAGACAGTGTTCCATAGCTGAATGAATTCCTAACACTCGCATCCCCTTTTCCCTCGTCTGATTCGCCTTCCTCAAAATCATCAAGGGAATCTGAGTCAAATGGGTAGTTATACTCTCCATCACTTTTCGCAGAGCACCTGCCTTCACTACCATCCTCTTCACGACAAGCCTTTTTGGCTTTTCTGGAAGAGACATACCCTGTAAAAATTTTTACTTTTCTCAGACCAGCTTTAAGTGCTGAAACCTCATCTTTCTCCGTAGAAACAGCTTCCGCCGATGGAGGAGGTGAAGGAGCAGGCACAATTGATCTTTGTACTGGCTCCACAGTCTCCTGTGCAGTTCTTAGTTCCACTAAGCTAAGTGATAACTGCAAGATTCATACAAGCTTCAAATCAGAAAATGTTGACCCTCAGACAGATAAATAGGCAAGCAAACAAATGAAAAATCGCAATTTCCAGAATAAAAACACGTACACAGAGAGTGGGACGAGGCTCGGCAGAACCACCATAAGATGCAAGGGGGATGCTTAATTCGAGCTCTTTGTGTTCAGCTTCCGAAACAAATTCAGCAAGATTCACAAATGCTGTACCAACAATGGGAATCTTATTCTTTGACCCTTGATTCAAACCCTGGATTCAACAAGAAATGCCAATAAGCACCGTCGAAACCGATGGTACCTTTGAACATCAAAGAAATTGCAAGAGTGATTCACATCCTAAAAACTAAACTTGGAATCATCTATCATTCTAAAAGTAAAACCTCCTCATAACTCCAACAGTCAACAGTCAACCCTCAACAGAAACCAACAGTCCAATTATCATCCAAAGAATCCAACAGCCAATATCTTGAAAAAAGTCAAATTGTAGACATAGCACTTTACCAAAATCTAACCTAAAGGTCAAAAAAAAAAAAAAAAAAAAAAAAAACTACCGATGTCAATATAATTAAAATCCTTCACACTTACGGGAGGGAAAAGAACCCAAAAAAAAAAATCATCATTAATTCACTCTAGATTTGCTTGATTTGCAACATAAACTTCCAATGCATATAATAAAAAATAAAAAATAAAAACACACACACAAATTCATTATCAACAACACGTAAATCGAAAATCGAAAATAATTCTAATGATTTTAATTCATGAACCAAATGTATCCTAATTGATCTCACAATATCATAACGCATAACACCAAATTAAAACAAAAGAAAAAAAAAGTCCCAAAAAAGAAAGGTAAAGAAAAAAAAAAAAAAAAAAAAAAAGGGAAAAAAAAAAAAAAAAAAAAAAAAAAACTTACATTAAAGACAGTGAAGGCGATCTCCCACGGATGAAACACATTGTCCTTGTTAACCTTATAGGAGGAAATACAGCAGAGGCTATGAAACTCCTCGTCCCAATCGACGACGCCGTTTTGGGCGTCGACCTCTCTGGTGAAGTTCCTCTTGACGGCCGGTCGCCGGAGTGAGCTGAGGGCCGTTGTCTTCGGTCCCTTCCAGCGAATCTCGACGGTCATCTTCCCGAGCTCCGGCGAGGCGGCTCCGGCTCCACCTGAGGCCTCCCGCACCAGATCGCAGCCTTCCAGCCGCCGCACCACCAGCCTCGCCTCGTACTTCCTCGTCGGCAGCGGCGGCCAGGGTCGCCACCTCATCATCTTCACCACCATTCCTTATATCCAAAAGAACAGATTTTTTTTTTCTTTTGGGCTTTCTTTTCTTTCTTATTTTCCGGGAAACTCTCTGAGGAACAGGTAGAGAGAGGGAAGGGGAGAGAGAAAGAAGGGGAGAGAGAGAGAGAGAGAGGGAATGTGCCGTTAATTTTGGAATGGAAAAAAATAAAAAACTTGTTTATAGAGAGGGAGAGAGAAATGGGGAAGAAAGAAGGAAAGCAGAGGTCTTTATCTAAAAATTTAAGGGAGAGAGAGAAAGAGGAGGAGAAGACAGGGAGAGAAAGGAAAGGCCATGTTTGGTTAAAAGTTTTTTACTTGGTCTAACCAACCCATGAGTTATTTTTTAAAATTAAAAAAAAAGTACAGTTGTAAATCTCTATTATTTATGTGTTATTTTACATAATTAATATTAGTCTAATTTTTTATTTTTTTATTTATTGAATGATAATTAGTTATTTCTTAGTTAAGTGGTATAATTAATATTTTTTTACCATTTAGAGTGGGGCTTCTCGTTTCTTCTTTTTTTTATTTTTCAATATATTTTTATTTTTGTTTTTTATTATTAAAAATTGAATCTTATGGAAAAAAAGAAACAAAAGGAAAAAAGAAAGTCGTATGATAACGTTAATGACGATGATGTTTGGTATTGGACTAGGAAGGGCCGCAGGGGGGTTATGACGTGAGTATTATGGGGGTATTTTGGGTATTTAAGCCTCACCACACCAATGACCAAACGGTGGTTCAAGCAGATTAGTTGACTTTGTTTTGGGATTTCCCTTCTTCTCCCTTTGTTTTTTTTTTTTTTTTGTGTGGTTTTTTGGCTTTTTTGTTCAGGAGAATCCGTGAACTGCATTTTATTTTCGTTTTTCAAGTTTTTTTTTTGAAATTGGAATCATTTCACAATAAATAAATTACACAATACACAAATGATCTCAAATACAAAAGTATTCGACCCCAAATTAATAACTATATCCACTAATAAAAATTAAAATAACACAAAAGTAAATATAAATACTGAGACTCATATAGAAAAAAAAAATACATAAATTTCAAACTTGACCATAGCTCGTTTTTTAAGTTATTACATAGCAAATTCTCAGGGAAAAAAAAAAAAGAAGAAGAAGAAAAAAAAAAAAACATGTTCTTAGTTCTTTACTAGTCGATGCCTAAATTACCTTAAAAATCACGTTTTCAAAGTAGAAAATTTTAATTCAATCGAAATGTCCTAAACTTAAAAAGTGTACCATTAACTTTAACCAAAAATGAAAGGCGTGTAACAACATGGAAATAATTCAGGTAAATAATTCAATAGCATTAACTTCTAATAGCATGAGGAAGGGTCTTATGATCTTTGCTTTTTTTTTTTTTTCCTTTTTTACAGAACGACACAAAAAAAAAAAAAACAAACATATTATATTTGGATTTACTCATATGACCCGAACTTAAGAAAAAAGATTACATTTGGATTTACTTATATAATTTGAATTGACATTCTCGGTCCCTCATAAAAAAAGATTGACATTCTTAGTTAATTATTTGCAGTGAAACTTTAAGTTTATTTTTCCAAAATATAAATAAAATAAAATAAGCAAATACCTTCCAAAGGCCTTAATGAAAGCTTGTGAAAAAGAGAAAAAAAAAAAAATAGCTTAATAAAGAGGCAACATATTTTTTTTTCCTTATTTGAATAACTAGAGATATTAGAATATCCCCCTAAAAAAGGACATTAGAACTTATATTTAGGGGAAAATAAAGAGGCATTATATTTTTTTTCTTTTTCTTCTTTGAATAATTAGCTTCCCTTTTGGTATGTGCGTACTTATTTGTCATTATTACTCTTAAATTATACGTGACTCTCTTTACCGTAAACGTTGCTTGGGAGATAGACCTTTGGTTAGAAGGTAAACAATCCTTTTAAGTCGTTTGTTTTTAACAACTTTCTTAGCACAATTTACCAAGTTCTTCAAAGTCCATGGAAAGAAAGAAAAACATTCCTTTCATTATTTTTTTCCTTTTTTTTTAAGTGAAAAAATGGTGGAGATTTTCTTTAGTAATGTCTTAATAAGATCTCTACTTACTAGTGCACTATTACTTTTTCCTATTAAATTCACCCTAGTATACAAATTGTGTGCAAATCTGCTGTGCTTCCCAAAAAAAAAAAGAAAAAAAAAATTTGCTACGTTTTTGAGAAAAAATGATATTTTTAGGAAAAAAATGCAATATCATTAAGCCAAATCGGCACGAACAAACGGAGTTACAAAACGAGAAATAGCATCAAAACAAACTAACTTTTTTACTACAGTAAAAAGTTCTTAGAAACAGTCACATTTAACTTTTTTGCTACAGTAAAAAGCTCTCACATAAAGTTACATCTCAATTCGAATTAAAAACTCAAATCAGTGAATTAAACAGGCTCTAATTCTGCCTCAGAAACATAAAAATAGGAGGCTAAAATATGAGCAACTAAATTACTCTCTGTAAACACATTTCCAGTTTTAATTTTTTGGCAGAAGCATATATGTATATCCTATATATGGGTATATATATATATATATTGCAATTTACTTTGCAATGATAATATCCCATGATTTTCAGCTATTTCCATATTTAACACGCAAATCCAAGTAAGTGCACTTGATCATTTTATGGCTACCCAACCTTATCTTTTAATTAATGGTAAAAATATTTGCTTGGAGCAATACCTGCAATATTTTTATTTATACATTAGATTTGTATCATATTTTCTCCATTTATTTCATAAGTACGAGTAACTAGTCAGTAAGCTTTAAGCGATAAAACTATATTGGTCTGTAAACTTTAAGCAATAAAAACTTTCTGGCGGGCTATTAAGGCAAATTTTTACCTTTTCTTTAGGGGAAACTTTTACCTAATTAATCTTTGGTATATTAATTGCTTATTCACTCTTTTCTTGTAACTAACATAAACTCAATATAAGATGCTCAATCAATTGTAACACTCAGCTTATCCATGTATATTTGTATTTTCCATATACTATTATTATTTGACTGATGAGACAAAAAAAAAAAAAAAAAAAAAACAAGTAAAGAGCTTGCCGATATTTTATAGTGCATTTTTTTGTTTTTTGTCAAGAGAATAATATATCAACAATTAAATAAATTTAAAGTACTTTAGGAAAATGGGCATTGATTATCAAAAAGATATTTTTGTGCTTGAACTCAAATGATATTAATGAAACCCCTTTGAAAAGTGATTCTAGAAATTGCTTTTGTAAAACAAAAACTTTTCCAAACAACCTACACCACAGACTTACCATTCCATTTTTCCCTTTAAAATAGCATATTTAGTTGAGTATTTCATGAAACCACTTTGAAAAGTGGTTATGTTAGGCACCGTTCATTTCGCCGATTTGAGTTTAAAATTCGAGTTTTCTTATAGTAAAAAGTTCTCAGAAACAGTCACATCTAACTTTTTTACTACAGTAAAAAACTCTCACATAACGTCACATCTCAACTAAAATTAAAAACTCGAATCAGCGAACTAAACGGCCCTTAGTGAATTAGCTTTTAAGTTTTAAGCATGAAATATTGTTTAATTGTGGTCTCATTTTCTCCTCTATTCAACCATATCCATGCCTCTCGTGTTATTTTGAGGATTGAAATATTTTGCAACGCTATCAGGCCTATTATGTCATGCTTCATTTAGCCAACACAATAATAAGTCAAAGTTTAATTAAATCCAACTACATATATATATATATATATATATATATACATGGCTTTGATTATTTCTTACATGACAAGTGAGGCACTTTTTGACTCCACGTGAACCACATACCACTTAGTGGGTTTTTTTGTGGATTTTTGCTTAAGATGTTGGGTAGGGATCGGAAACTTGGCTTTCTTTTTGTGTGAACAAAATCATGAAAGATGTTCCAAGCACACGTTATTATATTTATTTTATTTTATTTTATTTTTCTTCAATTACATTCAATGGGGACAGTTGGGCTTTACAGCTAGGCTTCTGAAAATGTTTTTTAGTTTTGGGGCCTTTCAACTTTTGTGGAAATTGCTTGATCCTTTCTTGCAAGTTGCAATCAATACAAACCTCATATTTTTCATATTTTATGCACGCGGTACGATATATATTATAACCATGATTTATATAAATAATCAATTTTTATATGTGGGCTCCATCACATAACCAAATGGTTTGTCTATTTCCGGTTGAATAATGCACACCATTATAGTTTAGCCGTGGTCTCTCGATGTACATACATGCATGTAATTACATATACATATAATATGTGTATATATACATCCTTGGTTCTACATACCTTAATATGTCGTATTCAATTGCACTTCTTTATATACATAGAGACAAATTTTAAATGGTTATGTTTCTATCGGTAGTTACTATCATATATAGAAATTTAATGACATGACATGATAAAAATATAATTTTGTTAATTGTTATAATTTTTTTTAGTTAATTATGTAATTTATTACTATCGTCGAATCAATAATAACAATAATATATCGATAATATATCAATGGGCAAATAATAGAATAACCATATAAATCACCTTGATTTAATATTCGCATACTTTAATAAGTTGTATTATACGTATTAGATAGTATTAAACATATACAAAACAACAATTATATAATTTAGATTACAAAATATTATTTTTTTTATCTCAATATTACAAAATATTAGTTAATAGTGTATTTTATATGTAATACAAAGTAGTGTGTCGTGTCAAACTTTAAAACAAAATTAAAATCTTAAAAGTGGAGTATTTGGACTCTATAAGTTGGAGTTAGGTGTGAATTTACTATTAGGTAAATATGCCTAAGAATTACCGACATGTCAAACTATTATAAGTAACAAAAGACAAATAAATAAAATAAATCAAACAAACTGTGGTTTGAATCGATTTAAGGGCCTTCATTTCTAGGCGCTGTAATTAAGCAAAATGAGTTATCTATATTATAAAAAAAATTAGTTTTTTTTATAGTGCTTTTAAACTTTTACTTCACGTCCGTTCGAGATAGCTTGTACTTGTGCTTTTAAAAAATAAAAAAAAAATATACATATAAGTTGGGGCTTTTTAATAGTATTTAGATAGTATCTGAAAAAGTACTTTTATATATCTAAGAAGAG